TTGTATTTTGGGGCAGTATTACCAGTGGCCTTTGTGTGTACATTCATTGCTTGCATTCATTGTTTATATGATAGAGAAACATATTTTATAAACTTCCCTGTTCAGTATTAGTGAAATTAACTAAGATGCATCTATGTAAAGATAAAAAAGAAATTAATACAATTAACTTCTGATCATTGGGGGCCTATTTATTCTGTTTGGTTCCTACTCTTTTCTAGTCATAGTCATGTATTTCTTCACTTTGCCTTCTAACAGTTTCATTTATCTTTGTGGAGTAGGGAAGATTTAAATATGAATTTCAGTTCATTTTGCTACTGGATAGCTTTGTTTAGAGGCAAATAAAATTTTGATCAAAAGTAATTTCTTAGAATTATGCCCTTTATTCACCAGATAATCAGATTGGCTTAAGAAAAGAAGAAGTATGTATAAGTTTGCTTTTCTTTTGTGCCTGGGTCTGGTATGTTGCCCAGGCTGACTTTGAACTCCTAGACTCAAGCAGTCCTGCCTCAGCCCTGTTGAGTAGCTGGAACTACAGGTATTACACTTGACTTAACTTTGCATTTTGAAGAACAAACTAATAATTTTCCATGGGCCCTACTGGATCTTAAAAAGCAAAAGATATCTGAGAGACAACTAAGGATCAATGGGAGTTAACTGTAGGTTAGATTCTTTTAAATTTCATACTCTGGGTGGTTTAGAGTTGAAACTGGTTTGTGGACTATAAAATATGGCCAGCATTTAAAAATTAAATGATATTAAATAACAAACTCTATTAGATATAGTACAAGTGCACAACTACCCAGAATGAGTATTTTAAGGTATTATTAATAACTTATGTTAATTAATTTCAGTTTAACTTACATTAGGGAGACGTTCAGAGTATTAAAATCACCTTTTTTTCCTTCTTCCTTAAAAGGCAGTTAAAGTGGTAACTGCTAGTGGTTATGAAAATTCACATTAATTGTTGGTGAAGCCGATAGAAACTGCCTTGTCATCTAGCCAGCAGCAGGGTTTACCTGGTGAACAAAGGCATGTTGTTCAGGGTTGATTAGGGTGATTGTATCCTGAGTCTGGAATTCTGTCTCTGTGCACAAAGAAACTTTATGCAGAGTTTAGGTAGGTAAAGAAAGGGATATGCAAGCACTTTGAGGGCTTTATAATATGCTGCTTTTAAAAGATAAAAAAAAAAAAATTGATACTCGGTGCATCTCCACACATTGTAAGGGGTTGCTCTGAGTAACCAACCAGGTGGTCATTTTTTCTATCACCTCCCATGTTTTATGCAAAAATTTTGTTAATTGTATAATGGTGGTATGTRTCTTTTAAGAAAGATGATACATTTTTAAACTATTTTGTGTAAGAACTGACAGAGGAATTTGCTTTGTATAATGCAAGCTGGCTTTAAGAAAGCACTGTAGCAAATTTACTACAAGTCCAAAATTATACAGATATATTAGTAGATATATGTGCAACTAGATATGGACAACAGTTGTATTTTTTTAAATAAATATTTTTAACAAAATAATTWTCTGGATTGATTATTCATTTCCCTTCTTTCACATTTGTTGAGATAGTCTCTGTGCATTGTATTGTATTTTCATCCATGCTAACAAGGGGTAAGGAAGGAATTTAATTTTCCCAGTGCTTTTTGGTTAAACCTGATCTTCAACTACTTGATATGTATCTACATTAAAATATTTAAAGCCTASGTTGGGACAGGCAGTGAAAAGGGGAGACTGCAAATGATTGTTGGCATAAAGTGAATTAAAAGAGAACTGACCAGCAAGAAAAAATTATTAACTATGTGAAATCTCTATTTTACTTTATTGACATTTTAAAKGTTTTTTAAAAACATTTTTTAATAAGATGCCTTTATTGTAGCCTTTGAAAAGAGCAACTTTTGCTTATTTCTGTTTTAGCACGTTTCTTTGTATGGTTTTAGAGCTACAAAAGCGGAGATTTAAGTTCATTTAACAAATGAAATGAGGCCTTTCAGAACTGGTTTGAAATAACACATATAGGGGAAATTGGGATTAATAGATGGAAAAATCATATCAGAAAGCTATTTCATATCTCTAGATGAMAATTGCTGGTGAGGCAATTCACCTACCCTTGTGAGATGTCACTTCAGATGACGATGCTCAYTGGCTGATATTCTCTTGTGGGAACTGATAAACTCTCCTAAAGTACCATTCTTAAAACACATTACCTCGAACAGTAATCCCWTGAGCTCATAAAGGAGTCTTCAGTACTTGGAGATTCAGGTGCATTTTAGAATATCAGATGCTTCAAGTCCTTCATTTATTTTCTAACCTCTATTGAGAGGCATGCTTAATTGGCAAGCACTTTGTGTTTTACAGATGGATCGGATGACACACTAATACACTAACACTTTGTTTCAGAGCTGGCATTGTCAGGTGGGAGATAATCATTAACAGTTGTAAGATTTCATATTGATGTGGCTATGAAGCCCAGCACTGGTGGCAGTATACCCTGTGCCTGAAGGAGTCGATAAAAGTGACTTCAGAGGGAGTAACTCTAAAGTAGTAACCCAGCAGTGGATAATATTGAAGGTGAAATGGAGGCAAAGATCTCTAACAGCTGTGCGGGTCAAGTGATGAGCTCTGGTGTTCAGGAAGTTGCTGGAGTGCCAGAGTCCACTCCGTGATTTGTATTTGTTTTGAATGCGTAGCCTCTCTGAAATCAAGGTCACCATCTGTGTTGTCAGGTTCAGCAGTTGATATTCATTCCTTGGTTTGCCTCTTGACAGCACTGATTCCTTCTTTAGATACTCTTCACGTAACTTCTAAGAAACCACATTTTCTCTTGAACTTCCTCTTACCTCTGGCTTCTCTCATTTGCTGTGCTGGATCAAATCTTGTTAAACCTCGAGGTGTTGAAGAACCCTGATCTTTAGATCTTTGAATCTCTACATTCACTCCCTAGCTGGTCTCATTCAGTCCCATGGATTTGAACCYTCTATATGTATGTGATCACAAAATTTACATCTTCAGCCTTGACATGTAGGCTTTAGACATCTTTATCTAGCTGTCTTCTTGACACCCAAGTTAGTATAGTGAGGTGAGTGTGTGTAAAACAAGACTCCTGAGTGGTCCCAATGCTTTCTAGTATTAAGTGGCCTTCTTTTTTTTTTTTTTAACCTTTATTTATTTGTTGTTGTTTATTTGTTTTTATGTGGTGCTAAGGATAGAACACAGGGCCTCACATGTCCTAGGCAAGTGCTCTACCACTGAGCCACAACTCAAGCCCTTAAGTGACCTTCTCATATACTCAGTTCCTTAAGTCAAATGCCCAGGCATCATCCTCAATTCCCATCTTTGCCTCACACCCTGTACTCAATCCATCAKCAAATTCTGCCAGTTTGGCCTTCCAAATACAGCTTTGATCCAATCACTTCCACCAATTCCACTGCTACTGACATGTTCCAGTATCACATCAAGCTGGTCTTTCACATTCCGTGCTTGCCCCATAGTCCCATCTCCGCATAACACCCAGAATGGTACTTTAAAACCTCTAAGTCAAACCCTGTCACTACACTGCTTGCAACTCTCCTAATAATCTCACACACATACAAAAATTTCCACATTCCTTGYCTGGCTTATTGGTCTGGCTCCAGCCAGCACTCAGCCTACTTCTTGCCACTGTCTTCCTTCCTCACTTAAGCCACACTAGTCCATTTGCTGTACCTCAAATTTTATAAAGCACATTCCAGTCTAAGACCATTGGACTCGCCATGTCCCCTGTCTAAAAAGATCTTTGCCAGGTACTTGGATGGCTTTTCTTCTTAGGTCCTGCACAAGTGGTACCTCCTTAGTAAAGTCTTCAGAGCATCTGTGTGCATTCCCTCTTCCCACCCACCCCCTGCCCTGCTTTCTATTTCTCTGTGGTACTCCACTACCTCTCACCTTTCTGTGTGTTATCTGAAACAGTGATGTCTGTGCCTGTTTCTTCAATTGCAGTGTAGTCACTRTGAGGCAGAGACTTCTCACTGCTGAAACTGCACCTGGATCAGACTGTTTCGAATGAATAAATGCATTCTCTATATCAGGCCTCTGTGTCTACATCACTCTATCTTCCTTTGGTGACTCAAGTGTGCTGATGGGTTAGATTCCCATATCCATGTAATAGGGAATCTGGGAACAGGGTGACTTCATGGTACTCTGAAATGTCAAAACTTGAAGATCAGGAAGGAAGCCCTGCTTACTTTGTAACACACTTTGTGGTGTGAAAGCCTATTGCCTTCTCCTTCTTCAATGACATGTCAGAGGGATTAGGGGCCCTCAGCCCTTAGTTTCCTTCTGAAATATCAGCCATGAGAGCTGGGGGTGTAGTCAGTGACAGAGCTCTTGCCTAGGATGTATGACATCCTGGGTTCCACCTCCAGAATGTTTACTCCCCCCAAATATATAAATAATGTAAATAATATCAGCCATAGGAAMCTATAGATGAGCAAGACCTCTTTCCAGATCATTTGTTTCTGAGCTTATGTAAAAGGGTCAATTGTCCTTCAAAATGGATAACACACTTACTAAGTTTAAAATATTTTATTTTAGGAAAGTTACTTAGATTTGTTTTAATCTTATTTTCTTTATTAACAAATTAATCATGATCAACTTAGATATAGTTAATGATTCTGCCTTCTAAATCTCTATAAAAAGGATTTTTTTTTTTCCCAAAAACCACAAGAAAATACAATTGCTTTCTCTTTGCCAGGTCAGTCACTACAGTCAGAGTGCACATTTGAATTTGGCTAATCTTAAAAGTATTTACAAACATAGTTAAAACTATACCGCGAGACTGCTAGCTTTCCAAAGAAGTTGGGTCTTTCTGACTTAACAGTAAATATGTACCAAACATGAACAATTTCTAAAATGCTTAGGAGGAGGCTTTGAAAATAAAAATTCCTAATGTATATCAAGCAAGTTATGCCAGGCATAGCAAGTGCTTTATACAAATTCCCTTAATTTTTTCAGAATTCCTGTGAGGTAGGGTACTTTTAGAAATTCCACTTTACTGGTTAAAAAAAAGTGAGGTTGGAACAGCCTCTGTGATCCACCCAGGGTCACACAGCTGGAAGGGAGGCCAGTGCTCGGCCCAGATCTCTCTCCAGCCACAATCTCATGGCTGTGCGGTTGATAGTAGTCAGAGCTGGCTAACTTGTCAACACCTGCAGATCCAGGAAAAACCTTTCAGTGTCAGGCATGTGAACTACAGCCCTTGGGATTTTTATATTTATACATGTACATTTGTATATACATCAAGAAAATACAGGCAAACCAGTTCTTGTAACAGCTATTTTATACTTCTAGAAGCCACAGTACTCTTAGCCCTGTCTGAGTTGAAGAGTTCATATTCTCACTTTATGTTACCGCCTCTCCCCTTCCTAGGACTCCTAATTCCTTGATAAGACACTGCTTTCTGAACACTGTGAGGCTAGAATTTTTCAGCAGTCCCAGCTTATTTGTTAGAGAAAAGACCTTGACATAGTATAAAAGGTTTTTTCCTCTACAAAAAAAAAAAATGTAAAATTTAAGTGAAATATTTTTGGAAATTCTTAGTGCTGTTTTTATACCTTTTTACATGCTTGTCATCCCAGTAAAGAAAAACAGAAAAGAAAAACAGGCCATCTCTTTCTCCCAGGGAATTTCTGGACCAATTAGCATTGCTTACTAGCAGTGGTATGCTGGTAAATATTTAACTACTGGCTCCCCAGGGTGGGGGAAAGCTCTAATTTGTAACTTTTGCCAGTTGCTAGTGGTATACATACTTCCACCATAATTGATCACAAGCTGCCAACATGGTGGAGTTGGGAAGAGATGCCCAGCAGCACTTTATCACCTGGTAACCTCTCCACCCCTATAATACAGACAGAATGATCTCAAGAGCCTCCATAGAATAAAATTAGGCAGTGGTAAGTTTTGATTATTTATTACCTGATCAGCTTTTCTAAGCTGGTGTGAGCAAGCCCAGCATACCACTGAATCAGTGTCCCAAAGAGAACACAATTCAACTTCTCCTTCTGAGTCTTAGAATACATATGAACCATTGATCTCTGCGGCAGGAATGGGAAGAACTTGGGACCATGATTAAGTAAAAAGCACATCAGTCCTTTTTGAACATGCCAGGGAATAACAGGGTTGGTTTTGATCCATTGAAAACATCCATAAAGAGCAACGATCAACATGCTTTACCATGTCAACCTAGTTTTTCAAACTTCATCTAAGAGTGACCTCAAACCCAGGGTATGGTCTATGCACAAAGTGACAAAGTGACGTGCACAGCTGTCTTCTGCCTTCCTGTCTCAGTATCCTGGACGGCCCTACCTGAGTCTGAACTGGGGAAGAGAAGGTAACTGGAATCACCAGGAAAATCCAATGATTTGCCAGAGGAGGACCCCAGGCAAATTTAATGGGGACTCAATTTAATTTTTTCTGCCCAACCGAGTCCAAGTGGAAAAGATTAGAGCAAAGGCTTTGAGAAGAGGCCACTCCACTTCGACCCTCGGCTGCCTTCCACAGTCCAGGTGCGTTGGTGCTCAGGAGGCTGGAGCCTCGCCTGCCTCCGGCCCCCGGTTTCACCTCTGGTAGTAATCAGAGTTCTCCATTCCAAGCGGTCGGTCTGGGGTAGAATCTAAAATAAATAAATAAATAAATAAATAAATAAATAAATAAATAAATAAATAAATAAATTAGGTAGCATGTCTCAGCTGCTCAGACTCCTTGCAGCAATTACTGATTCTGAGTATTGACCTGAGCTTTTTGTCTCTGCTGTTCCACGGCTCATTTGGGAGCCCAGTAAGAAGTCAGTCCCAGGCAGTTTGCTGAGGCTAATGTCTGGAGCTCCAGGAATGCGCATTTATTTTTGCCTCCCATGGAGAAGGAACAGGAAAGGTGTTGCTCATTTGATACTCAGATTTTTTTTTTTTTCCTGTAGTGCTGGGGATTGAACCCAGGGCCTCATGTGTGTTAGGCAAGCATTCCACCACTAAGCCACATCCCCAGCCTGATATTCAGCAAATATTARCTGAATGTTTGTCTTACACTCTGTGCTGAGTGCTGAGCTAGCCAAAGATTGGCATTTGCCTTCTCGGAAGCAAGTCTGTGGTTAGAGCTATTCTAGGTGGGGAGATCCTCCTGAACTTCTGGGCCTTTGCTCTGAGTGTTCACGGGGTGGATATGTTCACCCAGTGACACAGAGGACAGTGCTTACCTGTTTTCAGTCTTTTTATGATTATTCTGCTTTCTATGGAGTGGACCAGGACTGTCTGGGCACCTTCTCTTAAGAACTAGCCATGMGCACAGCCGTAGTTGCTGGGCACTTTGAGAGCTCCGGGCAGGCACAGGTTGAGGGCTCAGGGTTATGAAAATAGCTTGGGACTCCCCCTGCCTGGGGTCTCCAGGAGGGAGACTATTCTTAGGAGGTGTCTCTGCCCCGAAGGAGCTGTTCTTTGCCATTTGGCTTAAAGAACTTCTTTTGGACAAGAGATCTGGACCAGAATCAAAATCCTGAACTGCAAAAAGTTGGCCAATGAGGCTGCTGGGCCAAGTTCCAGCCAGGGAGGCGGTCTGTGCCTCTCGGTGCCCTCACAAGCTGGAAAGAGGTATTTGGCCGTGGWGCCACAGCATGGTGGGATGCAGGAAGCCAAGTTCACAATCCRGGTCCCTCTGCTAATGGAGAAAGCATGAGTCAGCCTGCCCCACTCCCACCGGCTTTAAGAGTTCAGTGTGGACAATCGCAGGGAAAGCAGGAAGAGGGGGAAAGGAAGCTGTAGAAAAATAAACATTTCCTTGCATTTTACTTGGAACAGAGCTGCACTTGTGGCGTGCTAAGATCCCAGCCTCTCCCCCTCCCTCCCCCGCGCTGTTTTCCTCCTCTTGTGTAGAAGCGGATCTTTTCCTCACCTGATGAGAGTTCAGGGTGCATCCTGTGGAAAAACAGGAGCAAGACATAGAAGGTAAAAGCCAAGCAGCCAAAGATCACGCCGCAGACCAGGAAACTATAGCTGCCCTGGGCCTGGAATATCTGCCAAAGGGGAAAACACAGAGATTCAGGCATTGAAACGTCAAGTGGAAAAGTGCCTCGGCGGAAGCGCCGKCTCGGACCCTTGGCAGGCTTCTCTTGTCAGGCTGAGGCCATGGCACCAATGGACAGGAATACGTGGAGGACAGAAGTCTTGGTCTTTTCAAAGGTTTGTGTCTGGGGGAGGCAGAAATCCTGCCCAAAGGCTGGGGTCAGACCTGGTGACCCCCTGTAGTCTTTCAGSTCCGGGTTCTGGAACTTTCTGAAAATCTCCATATCATCGTTGAAACTCCGATCACACAAGGTGTTTCTATCCTCGTAGACCTAACTGGAAATTTTCAGAGGATGTATATTTTCTTCAACATTTTATTATGAAAATTTAAAACATGTCAAAGTAGCATATGGAACTCTCATAGATGTATCTCCCAACTTTAGCACTGATTTCATCTGTGACCTTCCACTTCTTTCCTGCACTGGATTACACTGAAATAAATCCCATGACATGGCGTCATTATAGGGCCAAGGGCATCATGAGACGGGGCTCTTCTCCTCCATGCAGCAGGGCAAAAGGAAAGGAAAGGAGAGTGGAGTGGTAATGAGGGGGACTTTGGAGACCAAAATACCTAGGTTCCATGTCACTGTTGTTAGTTACTAGAAGTATGACTGACCTCAGGCCAGTTGCTAAATTTATCTAWGTTTCAGTGTCCCCTGTTTTAAAAAGGGGAATATCTATATTGTAGTATTCAAGAAAAAGCAGATATTAGCTTTTTATTTTGTTTCGTTTTGTTTTCTTGATGATGTTCTTAATGTTACACAGGCATGTTTGGGGAGAGCCGGGAGAGCCAGTGCTTGGTCAGGGCGGGAGGCTGGGCCATGTGCAGCGTGGCCACAGGCAGAGAGAGGTGGTCAAGGGAGCAGGGATAGAAGAACTCTAACTGCAGCTCACACGGTCTCAGGATCTGAGAGCCAAACAGCATTCCCACGGGTCACCCCTGGCCCCACTCCCAGACGTGGCTTGTGTTTGCTTTGGATTAGTCTGTTCATGTCCCCAGATCCCACATTTGCAGGCCCAGCTTTTGAGGTTGGCTGGGAAAAACAGGTTAACCCTGGCAGGGTGGGACCCACAGGCTCTGAGGAACTCTGGAGGCAGACAGCTCAGGCCAGAAGGTGCTGGCTGCATCTTCTCATCTGTCTGGATGGGTGTTCCCCCAACCCACCCCCCAGAGGACCCCACGTACCAAACCAACCAGCATCTGCAGGACCATCTCGCCAATCCCTGCCCCTGTCACCAGCACTGTGGTCGCACAGCCTGACAGAGAGAGATGGGTTAGGTTAGGGTTAGAGCAAGGTGAGGAGGAATCAGAAGTCAGCTGATTACCYAGGATGCTTCTGGAAAACCTCTAGGACATGGAATGGCTAAGAGGACTCCTTTGGATTCCTAAAGCTTCTCAGACTTTACCCTGTAACTTTGCTTCGAGAATGCCTACAGCTTACTGTCCTTGCCTTTCATTGCTCACAGTGTCTTCAGGGGGAATCCCATGATGCTTAGCTGGGCACCTGGGACTTATCCCAATCTGAACACCACCTCCCATTCCAGAAAAGTTTCCTAATAACCTCCAATGCATCAGAGAGCAGACCAGGATCTTTACTCTCCTGGCACCGTGACAGACCAGCCACATGCTCTGCTGCATGGGGTGGCCCCGGGCAGACCTGCAGAGCCCAAGCTTCAGCATCAGACTTGGGTTCCCAGGCTAGCTTGATCACTAGCCATGTGCCTCAGGTAACTTCTCTAAATTACCCGTGTGGGTAACTCGGCTGTAGAAAGCGTGAGGTGCCTTGCAGAGCACTGGCCCACAGCGAATGCTCAGAACCAGTGGGCTTTCTGCTTCAACCCTTCTGCTCACCTTCGGGCCAAAGTCCTCATGGGCACATGGTCTGTAGGGCCCAGCTCTCTCTGCCTGCTCCCACTCCCCTCCAGCCAGGAAGAACTATCCTGGGTTCCTTAACCCTGCATACTCTCTCACTGCCAGCCCCGACATGCCCGCATGCCCTCCTCAACATTCCTCCTCCTCCTCCTCTTTGGCAAACTCCTATGCTTTTTTTTTTTTTTTTTTTTGAGATGGTGGTGGGGGTCTCGCTGTGTTGCCTAGGTTGGCCTGAACTTCTAGATTGAAGGAGAGATCCTCCAGCCCCAGCTGCTCAAGTGTTGGGCCCACAGGTGTGCACCACCATGTTCCTGTTTGAGTTCTTTGTTTAGATTTCCTTCAGGAGCCTGATCCGAAGCTTCTCCTCTGGGCCCTGACAGCCCTCTGCACCCTGTTCCTACCTCCCTGGCTGTGGACCTGCCAGCCTTCCCCTCTAGGCTGAAGGCCAGGAAGATGACTATGCCCTGACTCGGTTCCCTGGTGCACACCAGCACTTACAGCTGCACGTTGGCCAGCCAGGGAAGGCAGCRTTAGCAGCGCATCATCCCCTCCCAGGGCAGCGTGCTCCTTCCCTCTCTTTCAGTCTCCCTCACCACCATCCTGTCCCAGCTGCTCTCACACTGCTCACTGCTCCAGTGCCGCCCCTCCATGGAATATCTTTCTTTCCTTTTCTCTCTCTGCCTTTATAAATCCTGAGCCACTCACACCCCACTAGCTCCATGACCTGTCTAAATTCACCACTCACTCCCTTCTCTGAATTCCAAGGGCATCCAACTGTTTCACGCATTCATTCGGCACACTGGGAGGGCCTTCCGAGCATCAGGTACTATTGAACACTGAGGACAACAGATGAAAAATAAGGACAAGCAGATACCCAACACCTCAGCCAGCAAAGACGCCCAAGCCTAAGGCTTTACATTTTCTCCAATGCACAAAACAATCCCAACAGGTGGGTCTTTGTATCCCTACTTTTCAGATGAGGAAATTGGGGCCAGGGAAGGGAAGGAAATGGGTTGCAYGAGGTCATAAGCAGCAAGCGTGGAGCAGGACTGACAGGTCTGCTGATGACTTCAAAGCCCACACTGTTTGCCCCCCTGTCACCAGCCTGCAGCATGCTGTCAAGGAGAGGCAGTGCGCATGGGTATGAAAGCCTTGGGATGGGCCACRCAGCAGGGGCAGGTGTGAATCAGTGGAACACAAAGGAGGGGACACACTTTTCTAGGGAAATCAGAGAAGCTTCCCGAAGGATGGGAGAGGGCCAAGTAGGCAAAGGGGAAGATGGAACAGAGCACACAGTCCAGGCAGAGGCAGCCACAGGCCAAAGCATGGAGGTCCAGAGCAGCATCATCAAGAAACACCAAAGAGTTGGCTGGAAGGCAGGCTCCGAGGTGCAGCAAGGACAGGGAAGGCCACGAAGAAAGGGAGGGGGTCCATAGGAGGATCCCAGATTCCACGGCTGTGTCTTAAAGCGCTCCCTCTGCAGCAGCATGGAGGGCGGCTTACGGGGTCCTCAGACCCAGCTACACCTTAGAACCACCCAGCAGCTGCAGCCCATGAYATCACCAGCGTGGCCCGGTCACTGGTCTTGTTCCAGGAGCCCCAGATGGTTCACCGTGAGACTGAGCCAGCTGGTTAGACAGAGGCAAGACTAAAGACAAGGAAACACACCAGGGCTTCTCAAGGCAGGGAGGGGTGACCAGAAACTGGGAAAGCCAGCCACTGCTCAATATCCCAAGCAGGTAAGGGATGATGAGGTCCCAAGTTAAGCAGAGATAGTGAGAAAAGAAGATGGGTGTGGGTGATCATTCTCAGGCCCGATCAGTATGACTTCTTGAGCTAACACGTGTTGGTCACTTGATACTCTGGGGGATATACTGTGCGGCATGTGATGACATTCTTTYGTTACTTCATTTGGAACCTGAGCACTCAGGGCCCGGCCCCGGGGAGCTGGTGGAGCCACAGGCTGCTGTTTTATGGCTGTACTGGTACTATGCTGGGATGGATGAGCTGGGGGAAGAGACTGTCTCCCTGGGCATGTCCCCTGCACTGTTTCCCCAGTGGCACAGAGATGGTGAGGGACRGCCAGATGATGACTGACAGCTGCGGTATCTCAGTCCTCAGTTACAGGGAGGCCAGGACCTCTTCGGTCACGGTTCACTGGAATATAACCAGGCGTGTGCTGCTTGGGGCATTTCTCARGTCACGGATAGTAGCCCACTTGGAGGAGCCAGAAGCCCAGAACCTGAAATATGTTTGATTCTTTGATTCATACTCTCACATGAACTGTTTTTCTTCTAAGTGACAAATATGAAATAGTGTAGGTACAGTCTCATTTGCACTTAAATATACTCACACAAATATATAATACATGCTTGAAAGGGAACTGGGAGGAAAAACTGCCGAGAAGTTATTTTGGGYGACTTTCATTTACTGCTTTAAAACATGCTTCTATTGTTTGAGGTTTTCCCAGTGAGTATTTACTACTTTCATAATAAGAAGTTCCATTTGGAAAACAAAATATGTGCAAGTTTATCGTAGGAAATATTTTATTCTTTCTTAACAACCAATGATGACATTGTAAGCTAAAAGTATTTGAGTTTTCCTTGGATTTCAAAAATCCAGACTCTCCCTGTCTCTCATAACTGTGGGAAATCAAGGTGGGTACAATGCTAATTTCTCCCATCTTAATGCTGATTTTCCAACCTCCAGCCAGGGCATCTAGTTACTTCTAAGGGTGATGTTAAATGTTCAAAACACAACTATTTTTAATTAACTAATTAAAAAATATCAGTACTGTATGTACTTAGAGGGGTTAAGGGAAGGGAAAGGAGGTTAGTTGAGAGAATCAGGTTTCTGACATCAAAGCTGTGTCAACCTCAAGCCAGGTGTGAAGTTTGCTTTCAACAACATCCCACAACAAAGCAAGGAGGCGCTGTTACTGATCATTAAATTATGAAATGGCAGGTGCACGCTTGTGATCCCAGTGACCCAGAAGGCTGAGGAGGGTGATCACAAGTTCAAGGCCAGCCTCAGCAACTTACTTGGCAAGTCTCTAAGCAACTTTGGGAGACCCCATCTCAAAATAAAAAGTAAAAAGGACTGGTCAGTGGTTAAGCACCTCTGGGTTTAATCCCTGGTTTGAGGAAGGAAGGAAGGAAGGCCTCTCCTGGTCTGGGGGTGTAGCTCCAGGGTACTGTGCTTGGAGACTCTGCAAGGGCCTGGAATTCAATCCCCAGCACTGCTAAACCCATAATAAAATGCCTTCCCAGGGTTCTAAATTGTCTCATGAAATATTGTTTTCTTTCAATTTGGAACTTCCAGCGCACACGATCCATACAACGTCAGCTGTAGGTCCACAGACATTACCATACTGGAAAGAAGCCGTACTGCTTCTCTGAGGCCTGAAGGCATAGGGATTCAGGTCTAAGGCTGAGCCCAACACCTACCAGCACCAACCCGTCTCCACCCATCAGGAGGAGCCGCAGCGATCTCCCTGCTGAAGTACWGTGGCTGGCCTAGAGGACCGCAGGAAGATGGGGCGCGGGAGAGGAGGGGGCGTCCGGCCCAAGAGTGGGTGCGTCTTTGCTCCCAGCCGGCACTCACCTTTGTACTGGAGGATGTCCTCGGTGTAGGCCAGCATGCTCGGGAAGGTGCTGCTGAGGAACAGGCCCAGGCTCGCTGTCCCCACGAACAGGAAAATGACGTTGGAGGAGAAAATAAGCAGCACGAGGAAAGTCACCACCACGCCTATCTGTTGCAGCAGAGGTGGAGGTGATCAGAGATTGGGCAAAGCCGGGCATCCATGGAGAAGGGAAAAATCGAGAGTCCAGAGTCCCCAGACTGAGCTGCCTCCCGGGCCCCCTGTGCAGCGCCGTGTGATCAGTGCGCCACTCAGTGGACGATTTGGGAACTGCAACATTCCTAGTCTGGGATCCAGGAAGGAAGCCCTGAGAGGACCTCAGAGGGCCCAGGGAAGCGGCCTACCTGGACATCTAGGCAAATGCCCCACCATGCATGCCGAATAAACAGTGCTGGGGATCAAACCCAGGGCCTTTTGCATGCTAACTAAGTGCTTTGCCAATTAACTACACTCCCAGCTCTATGTGTGGGATTTTCTTAATTTCCCAGGAAATAAAGATCTTCTATAGAAGCTCACAGCTTTGAGAAAAAAATGTCCTGGGCTGTGGTCTGGAGTATAACTCAGGGGTAGAGCACTGGCCTAGCATGTGCAAGGCCCTGGCCTCCGTCTCCAGCAGGGCAACACCAACAAAAATATCCTGGGCAAGGATATCTGTTTCCAGGAAAAACTAAGAATACAGACCCAGAAAGCAGGCAAGAAATCACTGTAGGCTAATGCCCACTCTGTGCAGCTCACAGATGAGGAGCTGGGCAGGCAGAAAGGAAGAGCCCTTTCAAGAGTAATAGTAGACATGGTGTGTGTGTGGGGTTTTACACCAGCCCAAGGAGCAAAGCCACTAACCCCAACCCTGATCCTGTGGCTCTTCTCCCAGCCCCTCCAGCTCTGCCTCATGACCTCTTAGGTGTGACATGTTCTGAGTTGTGTATTAGACTCAGACTTCCTGCCCTGGAGAGGAATTCAGCACAAAAGCGTTTCCGAAGAGAAACGATGCATTCCCTCACCATGGAGAAGCAACACCAAAGACTTCTTCCATGCAGCGAAAATATGAAAGCAACCCGACAAATCCATGCTTCCAAACAATGTGTTCTTCGGTGCCATGGCTCCCTTTGTTYTCTTTCCCTCCTCTGCTCAGTCTCTAAATGTCACAGGGGCCTAGGATTCCTCTCTGGTTCTTCTCTATCCACATTCCCCCTTCACGCAGCTCCAAGGCTTTGAATGTCTCCATGGCAGGGTATCTTACAGTTATGCCCCYAGCTGTGAGCTGCATCCAGAACTTCAGTCTTGCATATAAAACTGCCCTTTGATATGGTCAATCACTGGATGACTAGCAATGTCCCCAAAACCGAACTTTTGAATTCTTTTACTCGTTTACTCCTCCCCATGGCAATTAATACCATCCTCTGCTTTTTTTTTCTTGCTGCCAACATGCTATGAGGAGGCCGAGGCTCCAGTGTAGCTCCAGGAGCTGGGGGTGTAGCTTAGTGGTAGATCATGTGCTTTGCATGGGCAAGGACCTGGGTTCCATGTTTAGTGAGCATGCATGCGCGCGCGCACAAACACACACACACACACACACACACACACACACACACAGATTTGGCTTCGTCTATAACCCATGGCCATGGCTGAGAGATGCATAGTGCTAGAGTGTGATGGACGTGGACACTGCTTTACAAGAGGTGATGGCCTAGCACATGGAGATCTGCGAAGCTGCCAAAGCCTTCTGGGAGGACCAAGCCCATCTTTGTGTGCTTGCATCCAACTATGAGGAGTCTATGAATGTCAAGGTGGAGGACACCCTTTGTGCTGAGCACCACATCAAATATTTGARGTTGAGGAAAATGAGAAGCTAGGGGAATGGGCGGGCCTCTGTAAACGGACAGGGAAGGGAAGCCTATTAAGGGACCGGTTGTGAAGTGGTTTAGGACTACGTGGAGAATCTCAGGGAAAGGTGTCATGGAAGAGTACTTCAAATGCAAGGCATGAGCAAATAAAAAACTTGGCTCTCAAAAATGGGGAAAAAACAAGCGTCCCTGCTCTGGTGGAGATCTTGAAAGGCCTGTGTGTTAGACTTGGTCCTCAGGGTGGCGCTGTGGGGAGGTGGTGGAACCTTCAGGAGGTGAGGCCTTATGGGAGGTCCTTAGGTCATCTGGGAGTGACCYTGAAGGGGATTGTGGGATCTTGGCCTCTTCCTCTCTCCTTTTGGCTCATGAGGTGAGCAGTATGCTCAGCCAAGCTCCTGGCCACTGCCATCTGACACGTCTATCAGAGGCCCAAAGCAATGGGTCCACCTGATCATGAACAGGAACCTCCAAAGCATGAGCCAAGATAAACCTTTTTCTCTTTATAATTACCTCCGGCACTTCATCACGGTGACAGAAAGCTGAGCAGTACAATCCTCACTGATGCAGTTGCTCAAGCTCTGCCCCTAGATGGCCCCTGATTCCTTCTTCCCTTACCTCCTGCTTCAGGTCAATGGCAAGTCCTGTCAACCCTACCTCAAAAAATGTTCTAGGATCTTTCTCTCCAGATTCATCCTGACCACGCTCATCTTGCCTGGACGATAATAACAGATTCTCACAGGTCCCTCCTGTCACTCTTGGCCCCTACAGTCTGACCTTCCACAGAGCAACTAGAGGGCACTTTCAAAATGCAATGCAGATCAAATCCATTCCCTGTTTGAAACCTCCCAATGGTTTCCTGCTCACTTAGAATAAAATCCAAACCTGGTGTACACCACTCTACAGGAAGCAGCCCTGCTCTGCTCCCCAGACCCATCTCTTTCTGCTCCCACAGGGCACCCCTAGTTCCCACAGGACTTCACATAAGCACGTGCATGGAGTCGGATGTGGTCCATGACTCCAGGAGAACACTGAGAACCAGGGACTGTTTACCTTGGGAGGCTGTCTTGGAAGTGGTCACAAGAAATATAATGTTGTGACATCACAGCTGTGACATGGGGAGGTTTGCTCAAGGCTGGGTAGCCGCAGTTCCCAGACAGGATGGCCGGCAAGGGCCCCTGCAAAACCTGCAGAACCACTCAGGGGCCCAGAGGACTCGCCACGCCACCTGCAGTGGCAGCTCTGCGTGGGGACTCAGGGATCCGTTTTCTAAGAGAACCTCCATTGAGTCTGAGCTGTTTGGAATCACTCTTTCTAGGACAGTGTTTTCCCAACCTTGAGGATGCGAACCCCCCCAGGGCATTTGTTAAATTAATAGATCACTAAGCCCCCTGGACATTCTGATTGACTCAGGTGTGGTGGGCCCGGGAAATCGTCATTCTCTCAAACCTGATTCCCACCCACTTTCCCCTCCACCCTGGAGGAGGAAGCTGAGGCAGGCCACCATGAGCACTGTCCCCATCCTCCACGTCACCTCGCAGCCCACTGGGATCTCTCCTCCCCACTCCTTCCTCCTTTACTTAGCTCAATGCTTCCTTCACCCCCTGTTCTTCACCCCATTTCCCCTCCCCAGACCCTTCCTCAGCATCACGACTCCTCTCCTCGCTGGCTTCCTCCCTTTCTCCTCCGCCTGTGAGCAGGTCCCCACGCCCCAGCTCCCTTCAACGCAGACATATGTGCAGAGTGAAATGGGCGCTCACTCCTCTACTTCCCATCTCAGCCTTGGAAGTTTAGCTCCTACCCCCCTCACTCCCATCGACKCGGAACTGAGATATCTTTCTAGAAGATCATTGATAAGCACAAGGCCAAGTCCAAGGGCCTCTCTTGGGGCTCACGATCTTTGTCTCTATAGCCCCAACATAGGTCCACGCCTCCTGTGTGCTGGAAATTCAACAGAAGAAGTACCTTCTTACCGTGGATTGGGTTTCCTGGAAAAAGAGTGCACTCCCAGTCACGGGACAACACTTGGAAGGCATGTCAGAGGCGATTCACGCCTTGGTGGAAGGCTGGACTAAATGGCCCCATTAGGATSTGTCATCTGGACGCCTCTGTCATCCTTGGTCATGTGGATGCAATGAGGACAAGTCTTAACCCACCACTGGGCTCAGCCCTCCTGCCTCCTAGGCACAGCAGTCCCTTAAAGGTCATCCTCAATGCCAGGCCTGGCCTACAGGACAGGAGAGCTACAACATGCAAGTTCCCAGGYGCAGCCTGGCGAATGATCACAAAGGCTGGGGGATCTCTGGCCACTACTGCCCAGCTGGCACCATAATAAACAGGTGTGCCAAGGCCAACACGCCCCTCCCTTGTGCCCTTGGCAGTCAGGAGGGTCTGTTCCACACACCGCCTCCAAAAGCCTATTCTGTGAAGGCTTTTAAGGGTGTAAAATCAGAGGCCCACAGAGGAGAAGGGATTTTTCCAAAGTGGCACAGATGAGCGCTCTGCTCAGATCCCATCCGTCCGCCCCAGCATCTCTCACTTTCTCTCCTCCCTCTACTTTTGCATTCGTTGGCAGAGTGCCATCCCGAGCCAATGTTCTGGGGCAGCRGGAGGGCCAGGAGTAGACAAGTTCTTCTGAGTCACTAAGAAGGGAAGGAGGCCACTTAGCCACTTACCACATTGGTGAAAACCATGGTGACTGGCCTCATTCTTGACGAGATGGGAATGGAGATGAGCCGGCCCAGGGTAATGAAGCCCCAGAAGAGGCTGGGGAGGTAACCTGCCACCTTGTGTCCCACAGACAGCGGCTTCTCCACTGCATAGCTATAYACGAAGGCTGAGTATGCCCCCTGTGGAGAGAGCAGGCTCTGTTGAGCACACACTGTCCAGGCCCTGGCGGACTTGGGAACGCGGGGGAGGACTGACTGGCCCTGGCCCAGAGGCTCTGCAGGGATAGGCCCTGGAGCCAAGACCACAGAGCACTCTTAGGCCCRAGCTAAGGACAGAACCTGGGTGTCTTGGCTTAGAGCCACATCTGCAGAGACTCAGAGGTTCCCAAGAGATGTCTCTGGATCTCCACGGGGTGTCCCCATGGGGCCTAGGCAGACGGGCACTGCTCCTTAGCTAAAAAACAAGGTATGCACAAGTTTCTCATTTGATAGATGAGAGTCGMAAAAGTGACTTGTCCGAGGTCACCCTGAGAGTTGGAAGTCAACCAGGTTGTCAGGAGTAATTTCCACCGGGTCATTAAGTGTTTTAGGGCCTTCTCTCTGGAGGGTTCTCCCTATTGCAACCAGTCTATGGGTCAGCCATTCAAGAGTGTCCTAATCTAGTCCTAAAAGATTTTGTGGAAAAAGGAACTAAATAGCATAACAGAGGTCACACTAATGGGATGAACAGCTGGGCCTAAGCCCTCCCTGTGGCTTGTTTACAGCACTGGCTTGAGAAGGTGGGTTTGCAACACAGCCAAGAAGCCAAGCACCCCAGAGCTCATATGGCATGACCTCTATTAGGGGAACAGGGATCTGCCTCTTTAAAAAAAAAAAAAAAAAAAGAAAAGAAAAGAAAAAAGAAAAAAAGTGGCTCACATAATAAGTGAAAAATCATATAGGCCCCTATGTAGAGTTGACAAAAATAAATACAATCAGCCAGGACAGAAGCCCATGGTACCAATGCTATGAGTGAACCTGGGGACCATGTCTCCAAGGACTTTAAAAGTTTAAATGTTGGGGCCTGGCATAGTGGCACATGCCTGTAATCCCAGCGACTCAGGAGGCTGAAGCAGGAGAACCTCAAGTTCAAAGCCAGCCTCAGCAAAAGCAAGGTGCTAAGCAACTCAGTGAGACYCTGTCTCTCAATAAAATATAAAATAGGGCTGGGGATGTGGCTCAGTGGTCGAGTGGCCCTGAGTTCAATTGCTGGTACCAAAAAAAAAGTTTAAATTTTTGGATCAATTGTGCTGCAAGGGAGGTCTCTAGGAACCTTGACGGACCTCTCTCGCACCATCCTCAGACGGGGGTGTCAGGGTGCAGGCCTCCCAGGACAGAGCRCCTCGGAGGCAGGCTCACCGTCATCCCATCCGTCATGAACAGGACCAGGGCTGCTGTGACATGGATGGCAAAGAAAGAATAAGGGGCTCCTCGGCAGTTCTTCCGTTGGCAGCAGCTGAACAGGTCCTCGTGCCCTGGAGGAGGCGGAAGAAGAGCAGGACTGAGGCTCAGCTTCTGCCCCCCTCCCTTTGCATGCCCAGAAGACGCGGCTGGCAGTCAGAAGAGCCCTGGCAGAAAAGGGCTCCTGACTGCTTCCACCTATCCCAGCTTTCAGCTAGCTTTTAGGAACATCCCCCATCCTTCTCCCAGTCCTGGTAGAACCAAGGGTCAGAGAGGTCAAGTAACTTGCCCAAGATAACACAGGCAGGGTTGAGTAGAATGGACATTAGAGCCCAAAGTCTGTCTTCCCTGTTCTCTTGGCCAGGTGGCTCCATCTCCTGCCTCAAAGTTCTTGGAGTCACAAGTTTTTTTTTTCTAACCATGTGATCTGGGTTCATCTCTGGGGAAGGGGTTACCAGGGAAGCCTCAGAGGCTGTGAGCCTCACCTGAGTGTGGGTGAAACTTCGGGGGTAGTGAGGAGGCATCTTCCTTCTCTGGAGGCCGAGTCTCCAGGGCCAGCTCGTCTGCAGGAAGGAGCAAGGGCTTCCTCTGAGAGAAGCAGGTCAGCAGCCGCTCCTTGGACAGCAGAAACAGCACTGCCATGGGCACTGGAAGCTGGGGGGCGGGAGAGGTCAGCACAGCCCCRCAGCAGAGCTCCCACGCTGGCCTGCTGCTACCCCTCCGGGCGGTACCCTGCACATGCTCTTCTGCTCAGTCCTGGGAGAACACAGCTCCTTCCCAAGGGACCCACCTCACAGAGGAGCCATGGTAGCTAAGGAACCAGGTGGCTGACTGGGTTTCCAGATGGGGCAACTGAGGACCAAAGTTATCCCTTCCTGAGGACTGGAAGGGACCTTGGAAATAAACTAGAGGCCCAGAGAGGGGAGTCATGGTCACGCAGCTGGCTTGGGCAGAGCTAGACCGGAACCTGGTCTCAGGATTCTGCTCAGCACCATGTCCACCTGAGGCTGCCMGGGTGAGGTGATGTCCTAGCAGGGTACCCAGCTGTGCTCAGGAGCCTGTGGTTTAAACTGGAAGACAGACATGATCTCGTTCTGACAAGCCCATGTTTGTGAGCTCAGTGTTCGGTGCTCTGTTCTTTACACTAAGCCACTCAGGACCTCGCTGAGATTCCCCAGGGTGACGGGAAAGGTCTCCTCCTCCTGATGTTGCCTGGAGAAGCCACCACAGCCTCCCTCGGGTGCCCTGGCCTGGGTCTAGCCACCCTCCCTGCCAGGAAGTGCTCTGGCAAGTCTGCTGATGCCTTCCTGATTTACTTTGGAAGAAGAGGAAGGAGCTACAGGCTCCCAGAAGCTGAGGAGCACAGATAGCCACAGCTTCGGGGGAGCCCCTCTCTCTCCCCCAGGAAGACTGGCTCGTGCCAGCCTGAAAGAAAAAATCCACCCCACACTCTACTGACACCTCCCTATGTGACCTTGAGAGACCTTCTGCATATTCAAAAGCAAGTCAAGGTCAGACAGYCCCTGGCAGCTGTAAAGTCGCAAATGGGGCCTGGGTGGGAAGAGACACAGCCCCGCCCTCAGGGAGTCCCGGGCCTGATGGGGGAGACATGGCCCTTCCTCCAGTCTGCTGGGGGAAACAGGAAACCCACACAGAGGCCTGCAGTGGCAGAATGCCTGGGTGAAGGCCAAGGGGAAACAGCCGGCCTGAGGCGTGATCGCTCAGGTGGGGCCTTCCAGGGAGGTGGGTGCTGGGAGGATTGAACCCAATTTTCAGAAGAATCCCATTCAGGGAAGGCAGCACCACCTTGAAAGCCTGCTAATGCCTGCTAGTGCCAGGTGGGCTGTGCCTCCGGGTGAGGGAGGGCGTCCCATGTGCAAGCACTGCCAAGTTCTCTTCTGTGGCGGGCTGGTTCCGACATAAACCAATGGGAAAAGTCCCCAAATCCTGCAGCAACCTAACTGCCTCCAGTCTGCACCTCACGGGGCAAGAAAGAACAGACAAGGGCCTTTGGGCTCCCTTGTCCCTGTCCTTGATCCTTCCCGTCACAGGGACCCCTTGGAAGACACAGGTCTAAATCTGCATTGTTCCAAAACAGTGGATAGCATGAACAGGAAAGGAAGTGGAGGGCGAGGGGTGTGCTGCTGAGACCCCCGAGAAGATCCCAGCCAGGGAAAGGAGGTCTGAGGCCACGGTGACCAGGGGGGTGGGCAGTAGGTCTCTGCTGGGAGTTGGGAGCAGGGGCTTCCAGCTCCACCTGGCCTCTTACTGTCCCCTGCTCAGGGCCTTGAGCCAGTTAGGGTGGGACACCTGCTGTGGTGCAGCGCTCAGTGCTCAGGGACACTTCCAGTGCTACATGTATTGTGTCACTGAGGCTCTGGAGCAGCAGCTGTCTCTGAAGAGCCAACCAACCCTGCTTAGTTCAGAGAGAGGCTCTACATCAGGGTGACAAACCACTCAGGGTCCTTGTCCCATAAGCGGGCCAATGACCATCTGGAACATTCCCCACCCCAGGCTCCATGCTAGGCCTGAGCCAGGAGGTCAGGCAGCTCTGGTGTTTCTGGATTGTCTTTCCCAAGACTGGGGTGGAGGTGGGGACCTGCTCTCTACTCCACGGGGGATGCTAAGGGGATCTTCCTGGGTTGCAGAGTACCAGAGGAGGCTTCCAGACGAAGACCTGAGGAGCGGCTGGTTTGTCTGGGGCTGCAGTGGAAACTGGGTATCTGATGTGGCCCAAGGTGTGGTCTCTCTCTGCCCAAACCATAGGCAATGCCCCTCGGAAGTCATCTTGTCCCCCCCACAGCTGTCGGAGGAGACCCTAACAGTGGGGCACAGGAGATTCCCCCCATGATGAAGGACCCCAGAGAGGAACCCAGCGTTGGCATGGTCTCTTCCACGTCTGCTTCACTGGCTCACTGCCCACCTTCCTGGAGAACTGCAATCCAGAGGCCAATCCAGGGGGCTCAGCTCTCTCACCCTCTGTCTCCCGGCTGCACCCCTCCGCCCCCAGCATGTTTCTCAGAATCTGCAGTGGAAGCTGGATGGACCAGGAGATGTGGACTGTCCACTAGCTCCCCACCCAGCCTGTCCCGGCGACACTCACATTGATAAGGGCCATGATCCAGAAGGCGTAGGACACTCGGACCTCAGTCCCGCCCTTCGGGGGCAGCCCAGGGACSGTCTGGTTGGACCCAAGCTGGGCTTTTGCATGGTGCAGGCCCAGGATCTGGGAGGCGTGGAACAGGTGGCTTCTGGTGGTGGTGTTTGCTGTGCTATTGGCAGGAAAGCAGTTGGCCTCAGACAGGAAGGGGTCTGCGATCAGGGGGCTCAGCAGAGCACCAAAGCCCACAAAGAAATGGAGCACCTGTGGGTGGGTCAGGGCGTGGCTCAGTCTTCTGGCCTGGGCTTCCACCTCCCCCTCTGACCGCACCTGGTGCCATTGCCCAGCCCCAGAACCGGGAGGAAGAAGGACTGGGAAGCAGGAAAGGTGAAAGAGGGCGGGGTGGAGCCTGGCTCTCACCACCCCTGGGCTGGGATAACCTGGGTTACAGAGGCCAATCCCCTCCCTCCCTCTTTCTTCCTTCCCCAATCAACCCCCAGCTGGGGCTGTTGAATCCACCAGCCAACATCCTACAGGGAAGAGGACACCGAGGCAGCTCTGGATGGGATCCTGGTGTCTGGGAGGAGAAAGAAGAAAATGGGAGGAGCCAGGGAAGGTGGAGAAGGCAGGGAAGGGGTCCGGAGAGCAAACGGCCGGCCCTCCATCACCCTTTTGCAGTTCACAAAGAACTTTCTCTCGTTAGCTCTGGGTTCCCATGACAACCTTGTGTGGCAGATAGAGATCACGACCCACTTCACAGATGAGGAAAYCCAAGCCCAGAGGATTGAGTGACTGCAGGTGTGGCCCACTGGTAAGTGGTCACGCTGGGCTGAGTCACCACCCTTGCCCGGAGGGAAAGCTTCTTAGGCACAGGGCTGGCAGAGAGGGACCAGGCACAGGCAGCTCTTGTGCTCCACCCACCACCCAACCCCATACCTGCTGGCTGGGCTCACCTGGAGGAAGACGGCCGAGTCCTTCTGGTACATCCTCACCAGCTGCATGTTGGCCACTGTGTCAATGCAGCCCATGGCCAAGCCCGCCAGCGCCATGACMGAGGCCAGCACCTTCACATCTCGGCAGAAGGGGATGACGACAAACACCAGAGAGATGGCCAGGGTAGAGGTGAAGAGGGCCCATAAGGACTGGGCCAGGCTGGGGCAAGGGAGGGGCGGAGTCAGTGGAGGGACCCAGAGCCTTCCATGGGGCACCTGTGTCCTTGTCCTTCACTGGCTGGGTGGCCTTGAGAAGCCCTGGCACTTCCCTATCTACTTGGTAGCAAGAGAGGGAAGCTGAGGAAGCTCTGGCCCACCACCTGTGCATGTGGGCAAGCTGTTGAGCGTGCCTGTCTCCTCTGGGTGCTGTGAGGACTCAAGAGACGGTAGAAAAAGACTAACTGCTGTCATTGTACTCAGAAACAATTTCAAGTTGCTTAAATTGCTCACTATTTTCCCTCCCTCTCAGGCAAGCTGCTGTGAGTATGGTGAGGAAAGGGTGCCACCATATGCCTGTAGCCCAAGGTGGGCCTCCAACCTGATCCTGGAAGTCCCTTTGCTGAGCCTCCTCTTGYCCAGGGGAGAGGTGTGCATTCCACCCAGAAATGGGCAGGGGGCCTTTCCTTCCGGGCGCTGACCTGAGCCCCCAGAACCAAAGCCCACCACCTGGTGTTTAGGCCACTTGGTGACTCCTCAGGTGACACAGGTCATGAGCCCTGTGCCTGGCTACTGTCTGGAAGGAAGGAAGGAAGGACCTGAGGTTATCCCTACTGAAACCGGTCTGAGTGGTGACCTGGGTGATCCTCCCTGACTTCAGATCACAGAAGAGCCCATGGCAGGTGTGCTGGGGACCTGTTCCATCAGCAAAGAATGAATAAATGGGGCCTCTAAGGCTCTGTCAAGGTCTTTGGGGGACAATTCTATCCAATAACCAGACTCTCAGAAAAAGGACTAAAGACTCATATTTTCAGGGACCAGCCTGAGAGGCTAACACGTGTGGGAGAAGCCTGGCCAGCAAAGAAGTTTCTAAAAGGTTGTGGAGAAACTTTCTCAGATTATGAAAAACTGGAGGGATGGGGTGCAAGAAGACCCCTCTAGGTGTCCAGCATGCTGAAGAGACTGGGGAGGCCCCCAGCAACCCTGCAGCCTTGCCAGAGCTTCCCTCTGAACCTGGTAGCTCCTGGTCCTCTCATCTGGCCCCATATCTGATTAAATCCTTTATCAGAAGAGCTCTGCTGATAGCAGCAGTTCCTTATTTTGTTATTTTCTCATTTCTTGTTTCCAGTCTGATCTGCTGGGGAGATTACTGTTCTTGACCCCAGAGTGTTCCCAGCTCAGAATTCAGGGAGGGCATAGGGGTGGGGTGGGGATGCCACTTCTAGGCCCATGTTAGGAGGAGATGGACGGAAGGCAGGCTGTGAGGTGGGAGGCCTGTGCAGGTCCCTCCTAACTCCTCTGGCTCTCCCTGGGGCGCCTGCTCAGGCAGTCGCCAGCCCTGGCAGCCTGGCCAGGCTGCCCCTGCCACCTCCCTGTGATGCTCACCATGCTTCCGTGTGCTTCTGCTTCCTGCACTGCTGCTGCCACAATTCATTTGCCTGCTCTTGGCACCCAGTTCAGAGGGGTTGCCAAGGCGCACTGTGGGTTGATAACAATGGCAGACCTCTCCTAACGACTCTCTCTCTTTTTCCCCTTCCTTGGCCTGAACAGAATAGACTAGGCAAACTCCCAGATGGTGACTTCAGAGAGAGCAAGAGAATCTCCTATGTGCACCTTGAGCTTCCCTCCATGAACCCCAGTACTCAGCACAAGAGCCCCCCTCACACACTTGGTGGTAAAGCAGAGTTGTCCCAAGTCAAGTGCAAATATTCTCTTTGAAGAGTTAACACACTCTCAGCCGGGTGTGCTGTTGTAATCCCAAGGGCTGGGGAGGCTGAGCAGAAGGATGGCGATTTCAAAGCCAGCCTTAGCAACTCAGTGAGACCCTGTCTCTAAATAAAATATTAAAAAGGGCTGGGGATGAGGCTCAGTGGTTGAAAGCCCCT